TGAGTGCCCGAGAGGGACTAACATGACTCATGCAGTTTTCTTGCAGGTTCTCATAGAACTTAATGGGTTCTTGATTTTCTAAATCTGTTGCTCGAGAGAGAATGGGTTGTTAATTAAGAATACTTTTGGTTGAGCCCGAGAGGGGATATCGAATGAATTAGGAGAAACCAACTGTCAACATGGATAGTAATTAGGGTTAATTGGCTATAAGAATTAAGTGGAATTGGTTATGGTGAAATCGGATGCTCTAGTGTCTCATCATCTTAATTTTATATCATTAATTAAATTGCTATTTTTCATAATTGTTTTAGGTTACTTAAATCAATCAATCTTCTTAACCAATTGTTCAGATAAACTTTTGAATTAATCATAATTGGTAATTAATAGGAAATTACAGTCTTTGTGGGAACGATACTCTACTTATTTCTATATTACTTGTGCGAATTGTGCGCTTGCAATAAATTCACAACAACTTCCAACCAAAAATAATAGCTCACGCCTAGTTCATCATGACCAAGCATCCATCAGCTCATCCTTATGTCAGCTTGATGTGTATTTTCATGGGCTCATGAATTGGGCTTGGCTGAATCAATTGATGACTTTGAGATGTCCATTTTGAAGTTCAGAATGTCTCTGATCCAACCACACAAGAATTGGCCCAATCCAAGCTCGGATGAAGATGATAAGGCCGAAATGAATTGCTAACTCAATCTGCACGTTTTTGCACCATTTTGTTTCAAATGCCCCAAGTGGTACCTAGAGCTAGGGGTGGGCATCTAAACCGAAATACCGAAACCATACCCTAACCATACCGTACCATACCGATTCTATACCGTTTCATTTGGGATGAGGATATATTCGGTACGATACCGTACCGTACCAAGGGAGTATGGTATGGTAGCGGTACCAAGTATTTGGTACTGGTCAATACCGTACCATACCGAAGTGTATATATATATTTTCATTATCAGAAACTCTGACAAAACATAGACCACTATAAGTCAATTGACATTGACTTCAAAATTAGTTATCTACAGAGGATGTTTAAAATCAAAGGTTGGTTTGTCTCTCTTCCCACATAATGTATAATAATGAGCCTAAACTTTATCAATTCATTGATGTTCTGGAGAGGAGTGTGTTGTTTTGGGATATCGGCTGATAATGGTATAGATATTGTTGTTCCTTATTTGAACTTGTGTCGAGTACCCATCTTTATGTTAACTAAACTAATGAACTAAATTGGTTGCTGCTCTATGAGGTTTTTATAAATTGGTTTGTAAGCCATAAGGCATGAGTTTTATTTAACCATTTGGATTTGGTTGATTTGGATATTGAATTTGTTGATGGATATTGATTTGGTTGATTAGGATTTGGATGTTGAATTTGTTGAATCTTTGAATTTGTAATTTGTAACTTAGGCATCACTTATTTTGGTGAATGAATAGGTTGAATATTCAATTGGTTCATTTTTTAGTTGTGTCATTTTTATACCGAAATGGTACCGTATCATACCGATCCTGATTTGGTACGGTATGGTACGGTACCAACTTTGGCAAACTATAATCCCATACCGTACCATACCGGTTTTAATTTCCGGTATCGGTAGCGGTACGAGCCCAATACCGTACCGTGCCCACCCCTACCTAGAGCTCAATGAACTGAATAACAAACACAAAATACATTAAAAGCACAAGTTTAACTCAAAAACATAACTAAATCATAAGCTAGAAGGGTACAAAATGATATACAATTGTGAACTGATCAATTTCGGCAGAGGAGGGCTAAGACCGGAGAGCAGAGGGGGCAATTCTATCTGTCACATTCTTCCTTCTTTGCCGTAGCTCTTTCTCATTAAGGTCGTTCTTGGGTGGGCGCTGAATTGTTTTGATTTTGATGTATTTCTGTTTATGCAATTTCTTCTTCTTTTTGAATAATTGTGTAGTTTGATGAGAGATGGAAAATGACTTTTTTCTTGTCGTAGATTCTGTGATGCTGCTGTTTGTACTGAATTTTACGTCATTAAATTGTTAATTATTGCTAATTGTGATGTATAGGCATAAAGATCTGACTTTTTTTATTCAATTTTGATCGGTGGTTGATGTGCAGAGTGTTGGGGTTTGATTTGGACTGGGAAGGGAGTTTGCATTATGTGAGCTCACGCTGTAGCATTTTGTGTGTGTTGATGGACAACTAAGGATTGGATGCTGAGGAGCTGAGGTTGTGATGCTACTCAGGCAGAACTACTGGGTTTTGCAGTAATCAGAACGAGGGGAGTTCTTCGACATTTGCATCGGTGGTGAGGTATTTTTAAATTGACCTATTTATGTATAACTGTAGAGCATGAAGGATTTGTTACAAATGTTCCGCTAATCGGTGTTGAAATGAATTTTTGTTTAAACCATTGGTTGTATATATAAATATTGTGTAACTGAATAAATATCACAAAAACAAGTTTGGTGTAATGGTTTGTGAATGATACTTTGTGCTTCATCCTTTGAGGGTCAAGGTTCGAGCCCTGAAAACAATCGAAATATTATTATTATTATTTTTTTTTTTAAGGGTGAATAAAGGGCAACGAAGATGGGCAACGTCGGTGGTGGTTGAGGTGGAGGGCCAGAAGAGGGAATGCCGGAGACGGCCACGTGGCATAGTGTGCTTGACTTAGAAGGAATGACATTGTGTAGCCGCTATATATATATATATTGAGCTTCGGTTGAGGGATCTCTCAAATAAGTTTATTTGAGGGACACCCTTGTTAGGTTCACCATACATATTGTATTTCATTAATCTAAATGTCAATTTTGTAGATATTCTTTCAAAGATCATTTCTACAAAAAAAAATCACTTGAATCTGATATCATTTGACCACTCAATTAAATTATTGAAATTTTAGTATTTTCTTGAAGTATCGTGTTCATCGATTTTGTTGGGCACAATTAGATGTCTAAATGGTTTCCGATTAATCTAATTTTTTGCAAGAATGATCTATGAATGAAGACTTAAAAAATAGATGGTTTCGATTGTTGAATTTTTTTTTTGTAGGGTATCCTAAATGGTGTCCCTCAAATAAAATTAATTGAGGTATCCCTCAAAAGAAGGAAACTGTATATATATATACAATTATTCTCTCATTCGAACGTCCGTACTTTATTATCTTGCAGACGTCATTCTAAACAGGAGGGAAATAATGGAGGGGTAGTAGAAACACGGCGTTCACACGGTAATAACATCTAGACGTCCGCATAGGAGAATTTTTGTATATATATATATACCTAAAATTATTGAAATTTTAGTATTTTCTTGAAGCATCATGTTCATCGATTTTGTTGGACACTATTAGATGTCTAAATGGTTTCTGATTAATCTAATTTTTCGCAAGGATGATCTATGAATGAAGACTTAAAAAATAGATGGTTTCGATTGTTGAATTTTTTTTGGTAAGGTACCCTAAATGGTGTCCCTCAAATAAAATTAATTGAGGTATCCCTCAATAGAAGGGAACTGTATATATATACAATTATTCTCTCATTCGAACGTCCGTACTTTATTATTGTACAGACACCATTCTAAACAGGAGAGAAATAATGGAGGGGTAGTAGAAACACGACATTCGCACGGTAATAACATCTGGATGTCCGCATAGGAGAATTTCTGTACATATATATATATACCTAAAACATTTTGAATTTTTTTCTATAAATACCAACCTCATTTGTACATAATTTCCCACATATTTTTTTCATCCTTCTATGTAATTTCCCAAAAAAAATTCTTACTCTTTTCATCATTCTTCATAATTTCTCACAATTTTAAATACGGTCTAAAGTAGTACTTTAATTAAATTATTCAATATATTTAAAGAATACAATAAAAACTAATAAAATATTGCGGGTTCTTTGATTTATCCTTGCACTGCCAGAGACGGTAAAAATATAGTCCAACACTATTCTTTAAAAAACTATAAATAGTGGGCTAAATTTTATGGGTGGGCTATATTTAGTCCTCCATTGTTAGAGATGGCCTAAGAGGATTGCTAACCTAAAAATTGTAATTCCTCTGTAAGGCCATCTCCAACCATATGGTTAAATGTAGTGTAGGGCTATAATTTTATCCTTCCAAAATATTAATTTTTTAAAGAATAGTGTAGGGCTAAATTTTTTCATCTCTAGCCATATGGGGCTATATTTTAGGACCCTCCATATTTTATTATTTTGAGAAAAACTATAGTAAAACACTCATACATTCCACTACAATGTGAATAACAAAATAAGTAAAGAGAATAAAATTGTAGGAAATGGTTTAATGAAATGAGTGTGGAAAACATTTGACAAAAAAAAAAGAGGGAAAAGTTGTGAATAAGTAGAGAATTTAAATACATTTAAAAGGTTAAAAGAAAATAATAATAATAATTACGGCTAGCAGACGTCAACGCACCTTTAATATAAACCTTTGGATCGCAGTTGCACAAGATGTTCCCCTTCGCACGCCCACACGTGATACTTTCTCGTATTTGGGTGACACATGTGTTGGGCCCACAAAAAAATTTGGCCTGGTCTACAAGTGACTTGGGAAGATGGTTAAAAGAATAAATGTAGCCCTCAAAATTTGGCCAATTTTTTTTTGACCCATGACTGAAGATGAATTTTGCATGTTTTGAGGGCTACATATGGTCTATGGCCATGGCCGGAGATGGCATAACAAAAAAAATTGTAATTCCTCCCCTAAAAATGACTAATTGGCTCCGTCATGTCCTAAAAATTAGCGAGACCATGTCGCATAGGATTGAAAATTGGAACCACACAACACAATGCTTGCTTTGACTTTTATATGTAACTTTGACCTCAACTATAATACTAGAAGGCCATTGCTTGGCTCCTGATACATTAGGAGCCTTTCCCCCTCCACATGCGACGTGGCCTCTTTACAAAAAGACACCTGGTTTTTAAAAAAAAAAAAACTCTTTTTAACTCTTTTAACCCAAGCCCTTTTAACTCAGGTCACACTCTTCTCTCAGAGAGACCTCTTCTTTTGACAACCTAACTATGATAACCAGCGATGTAAACCTCCAACCATCGACCATGTAAATCTCCGATCATCGACAACGTAAATTTCAGGCAAACTTCTCTCACTATTTGATTAATTCTTCTGGGATGGTTAGTCCAACAGCATTGTTTCCCTTTCTTAATTTTGGAATTTTAGTTTTCATAATTCCTATACATGGCAGATTCTTCATATTTGGTGGTTGTTTTTACTGACCACTTTTGATGAGTGGGTTTCTTATGTTGATATGGTTTATCAAAGTAGTATACTTGTAATGAACTTATGTTGATAAATATATAAAAACATCTATTTGATTTGTAATATAATCTTCTCTTTTCTCTTTGTAAACTAACCTAGCCTTTAATTTGGGTGAAATAAATGGTTATAAGTTGTAGCCAACCTGTTTGAAGAAATTTCTAAACCAAGTTGTGATCTTTTTATTTTTGTTTTTGTGGTTTCTATTTTCGTAAATAATTTTAATTTCTAAATATGACCCAGTGGTTCTAAGTGGCAGTGGCAATATTGTAGGTGGATGGAGATTCAAGAGTGTCGAAGACTAAGCAATATCTTATCCAGTGATGTCAACGTTGATTTGCAAGGTGAGGAAAAATCTAATCCGTTTACTCATTTTTCACCTATTAATGATCTGGATGAATTGAATAAGAACAATCAAGAGAAAATTGAGGATGATTTGCTTAGTATAGAGTTTAGTTCTCATGAGAGTGCATATAAGTTTTATGTACAGTATGGTGGTGAAAGCGGTTTTAGTGTGAGAAAACAACATTGGAGGAAAAACAAATTGGGTATTGTGACACGGGTAACTTATTGTTGTTCAAAAGAAGGTCATCAAAGATATGACAAACGGCGTGAAAAAGTATCTTATTCTCAACCAATTTCAAGGGTGGGTTGTGAAGCACATATATATGACTTGCTTACTTTAAAAAATAAAAGGGAGTTTTAAGGTTACATCGTTTAAAGGAACCCATAATCATGCTTTGATTAGAACACCAATGAAGCATATGCTTAGAATTAGTAGATGTATGTCTAAGTCTCAAAAAGCACATCCTGATGATGCTGAAAAATCAGGAATACCTATTAAAGCCACCATGGAACTAATAAGTAAAGAAGTTGGGGGATGAGAGAATCTTGGGTTTTTGGATAAAGATTATCGAAATTACATACATAAAAAGAGAAAGACAAATGTGGAAAAGGGAGATGCTGGTGCTTTATTGCAATATTTTCAGAAAGTTCGGTTGGATGATTCATCTTTTTTTTTATGCAATGCAGCTTGATGAGGATGATATGATCACAAACATATTTTGGGATGATTCACATTCTGTAAGTGACTATCACCTCTTTGGGGATGTTGTTTGCTTTGCTATGACACATCGAACAAACGAATATGGTCGACCATTTGTTGGGGTTAACCATCATAAGCAAACAATTGTTTTTGGTGTAGTTTTGTTGTACGATGAAACTGCAAAATCTTTTAAGTGGTTATTTGAGACTTTCCTCTCAGCGATGTCTGGAAAGCAGCCAAAGACGATTCTAACGAATCCATTTGCTGCAATGGCTAGTGCAATCTTAGATGTATTTCCTGAAACTTCTCACTGACTTTGTGTTTGGCATATTTATCAAAATGATGCCAAAAATTTAAGTCATGTTTCATGGATCAAAAGAATTTGCTCATGATTTTAGCACATGTGTACATGATCATGAGGATGTAAATGAGTGGTTTTTAGCAACAAAAAAACGCGTGCTAATAGCCCCATATATGCCAGCAAATATGTTGTTTGTTAATCCTTTCCAATAGCCCATATATTCCATATTTCTCGGTTGCTACAACTGAAACCCGTATTTCAATCAACACATTGCCTCATTTATCAAATCAATTTGAGAAAAGGACCCATTTTCTTTTGGGATTTTGGGATTTAATTTTGATGATTTGTTTTGGGTGTTAATCTGTTTTGCATTACGAAATTGAAAATGAATTGAAAATTTATGATGCAAAAAGAGATAATTTTTTAAGTTGCCAAAGCAAAAAATGACAGATTTACTTTTAGAAAAGTTTCATGTGAGAGAAACTAATTGCAAATTCCATATGGATGAACACGATGATAATGACGCACATGCCTAAAAATTTAGTTATGCAGCTGACCTTGGTCCTTGGGTAATGTACCATCTAAATTGATTCTTAAAACATAGATGGTAAATTACAACACCTTCTAAATTGGTTCTTAGAGCATGTGCAGCGCTAGGGCCCTGCCCTGGCAACAGGGCCCCCAGCGCTCGAATCCAACTCCAAGGCAAAAAAACCAGCTTGGGCAAGCCCTGGGACCCACCAGCCCGGGCAAGCCCACGGGTAAAAATGGACTGGGCTGTTGCCCTCATGCTGCTGACGTCACGCTGACCCACCAACCCACATAGCCCAACGGTTATAAACCACGTGGCTTCTCCTGAAGCCTCCGATAAAAAAATCTTGCTCATTTCAATGGTTGTCCAATTTTTTGCAAAAAAAAATTGAAAAAAATTCTGGAAATTTTTTCTATAAATACCTGCAAATATTATTCATTTCCACACCAAATCTTCATACAAAATTCATCTCCTTCCAATATTTTTCACTTTTCACACCAAATTTTCTACTACAAAATTCCATTTGTGCAAAAATACAAGTGGCCTCTTCCATCGAAACCGAAGAGTCGTGGACAAACGTTCGAAGAGGTCAAAATCTTGGCTACGAGGCAAAACAAAAAAGAGGAAAACCATTACACATGGCTCCTCAAGTGAACAATGCCCGCAATCAATTCCAGTGGTGCATTCCGTGTCGGAAATAATGGCACTATTACGTCCTCCGAAGGAAAATACTCCCCCATGTCGTGATTCGGTGGAACCGGCTCCACCAATGATTGAGTCGTTCTTGTACTCCTTTGTGTCGGACTATGATGACCGGGAATATTTCAATTGTATGACGAGTGAGATGTGAATTTTTAATAAATATGGACACGTGGTAACCGAAAATCTTATCCGAAAATTTAATTCGAAAATTTAATCCGAAAATATTATCAGAAATTTGAGGTGAGAATTTTATAATAAATAGTGACACGTGGCAACCGAAAATATTATCCGAAAAGCTTATCAAAATTAATGGTTTAAGTATAAAAAAAAATATAAAATAAAGTAAAGTGAATAGTATTTTCCCTTGCCCTTGCCCTTTGGGGTGGAACCAAAAAAGGCAAGGCTGCCACTATTCACATGAATAATGTCAAACCTTGCCTTGCCCTTGCCTTTTGAGGTGGAGGTGCTCTTAAAACGTAGATTGTGGGGCAGCATGTGGGCCTAGGAAGTGAGCTCTGGGGGTCATGAAGAACCAATTCCTGGCTGCTAGGTGAAGAGTTCCAAATTAAATTTTGGGTTGGAACCTGTTGAATGCTACTGATGCAGAAGGTGGATGACAGGTAATGACAACCTTTTTTCTTTAATTGTGTTTTTTTACATATAATTATTTTTAATTATAATGACAAAAATGCCCTTAAACTTAACGGAAATCTTAAAACATAAATGGTAAATTGCAACATTTTACAAAATTTTAGGCATGCGTGTCATTGCTGATGCTACCTCACATTGCAGGTAACAACCAATTAGCTCAATTAATCAAATTAGAAGGTGAGTACTTTTTTTTAAGTTTGCTTCATGTCGAATGACGAAAATCCAGAACATTCAACATAAATTTATACTCAATAATTATTCTTTAATCCCAGGATCAGTTTTTTTCAGCAGTACATAATCTTTGCTTGTTTTATTTTCATTCAGAATGACGGGAGACAAGAATATACAAAAATTTAGAGCATCAACTAAAGTGTAGAACACAAAACATAGCAGGCACTACTAGGCAAAACAGAGCGCCGCATCGAGAAGACAGAACGACTGGTTGGAAGCAAACTTGAAAAAGATTTTATCCATGAAAACCAAGTTTGGCCATAGAATATATGGTCTACTTGGATAATGAAAACTGTCTCATTTACGATAACGAAACTAACTATGTTACAATAATTCAGCTAGAATTTCCTAATTACCAGAGATCTGCTCATGAAACAAAATTGCCTTAGTATCTATTTCAGCTGGTTGGGATGTGATCATAGAGTTTTGTGCAGCAATTGTAGGAGGAAACAAGAAAGGCTTGGGTGCAATTTGCAATGCATGAAGGGGTCCTTCCAACATCTCTACTACTTTGCTCATTGATGGCCGATCAGAAGGATTTGTCTGAATGCACCACATACTTATTATTACCATCTTTCTTGCTATTTTTTTTCCTCCTTTGTGATTGCCCCAAAAACATTCTCTTCATTGTCTAGCTCTAGATCTTTATAAATGTAATGCGGAAACAATTCACTGGTATGAGACGCTTCCGAATCCAAATTCTTTCTCGCTCTAGATCTATAAATTGTTTCTTTATTGAACTTTATGCTAGTTTTTAAATTATATAACCATGATCTTCTCATAATTTTTGAAATTTCCATTGAATATGAAGTTTTTTCTCTAATTACCTCTTCCAAGGTCCACTTAACAAGCTTAGATTTTTAGGTATTTCTTGTCAGAATTTGGTGAATTTTATTTGATTAGAGGGAGTGTGCTGAGCGAAGGACTACCAAGAATGACTCATGTTGGTCCCAACAATGCTTCTCAGGGTGCCTTGAGTGTGCATGAGGGGTTCCCTTCTGGGCTTGCTTAACCTGCTTGTGCTCTTGTGCAGGGTGCCTTCAGTTTATATTTATTTTTCTATTTGTCCACTACTACAAAAAGTGAAAAAGATGACGGCATAACCAAAAACCGTCATTGTGTTTAAAAGACGACGGTAACAAAAAACCGTCGTGGATAAGTGCCTTAAACAACTAAAAAATGGAGGTACTGTTGAATATTTTTTTAAACGACGCACACAAATAAAAAAGCGTCATCTTATTAAAAAGGTTTTCTTCAGAGTTAAATTATGACCAAAAAACAACGACAGCAGGTACGAATCCACCGACGTAGAAAATAAAGACGACAGTTCACCAAAAAACCTGCCGTGTTAACTCCTAACTAAACACAACCAACTGTTCTTAGTCCGCGTCGTATAATATAATGGAATCCACGTCGGTATACTACGACGGTGCCTTTTCTGAAAACCGCTGTCTTAATTTTTATTTCTTTTTAGATTTAATTATTTTTTAATTTTGGTAGCCTTCGAAAATTAAAATGAGATCCCAAGAGGTATGATATCTTACCATTGAGATCTTTTGATCCTGATCATAATCGAACCACCAAAGTGAGAAAGACAATATTTTAAATACACAAAATCCAAAAAGAAACCTGAATTGAACTGACCACGGCAAACTTTGAGAAAGACAATGTTTGGAAAGTTAATGATGTGTGCTTCTTTGTGTCTTTGAGATACACCAAAACGCATACAACATTAACATCCAAATTATTGTCTTTGAGATGTGAGGGAGAGTGATGATGTATGTGAGAGAGGAAGACGAGCCTCCAGAGAGGTCAGAAGAACTTGGAACCCTAAATGAAAACTGAAACTGAAAGAAAGAGTCAAATTTATACAATAAATCTTTAAAACCCACGGAGGTCCTTATACACATACCGCCGTCTAATTGTACAAAACCACGTCGGTTATTCTTTAATGGAATCCACGTCGTATAATTTAATGGAATCCACGTCGCATAATGTAATGGAATCCACGTCGGTATATTACAAAAAAATGACATGTTAAAACAATGTACTATGACGCGAGAGATTAATTTATCGACTTATTATTTTGGAGTTGTTTGGGCCTAAACTTGGTGCGCCCCGTCCAAAGTCAGAAAGCCCACACCATTCTTGATAGCCACCAAATGTCTTGGGTCTTAGAAGAAACAAATTAAAGCCCAAAAACCCTATAAACAGCTTGACCACTTCTTTCAAAAAGCCCAGGAACAAGGCAAACAGGTTTTTCTAGACCCACGCGATCCCTGACTCGGAGAAAAGTCAGCAATTTCGGCTGGAAGTAATAAAGGGCTAATAGCAGCAGTTTTAGAAGAAGAATATCTCTGGAAAAAGCTCTGCCATCAGAAACATCAGAATATATATATAGAGATATTCTCTATTTACAGAAAAATTCAGCAGGCATCATTTCCAAAAGATAGGCAGACTACATTTTCTAAAGAGATAAGTGGGATGCAGAGAGTTGTTCATCTGGAAAATCAAACTAACCATCACAGTAGTCTTGAAACTCGTAAAAACTAAAGAAAACAGGAAGTGATGGCCTTAGAAACAAACTGTTGAAAGTTTACTTGCTACAAAAGAATAACTTCCCTCTTTTTGGCACTTAGAAAATAGAAATATCTTGTTTTAGAGAATCTGCCGCCCATTTCTTTTAAAAGATTAAATCCCACCCCAGCATTGTCTATAAATATGAGAGGAGATGAACGGAAATGGGACATTCAATCAAACAACCAAAAAAATCAGTCAAAAGACAAACACTCAAAATGATCGCTTGATCTCAGAGAACCTTCAAGCAAATTGAAGCAACCAAAAGCCAGCTAAGCCACAAGTCGAAACTTTCAGTTTTCAGACTTAGAAGAAAGTCATTCAAAATGAGATTTTCCTCGTTACAAATTTGGTTCAGCAAAACCAAGGCAAGCAGAGTTTGGGTTTTTCACAAATACGAAAAACTCAACAAATTTATGGAGAGCCCTGACTAAGCAGAACAGGTGCCACAATACAGTTCCAGTTCAGTATTCTTCCAGCCCAGCCACTTCTGCCCCTTTCAGACTAAAAAGGTCGCAGTTCTGCCCGTTCAAAAGCCTTCCTGGGCTTGAAATAGATTAAAGCTCTGCCAAACTTAAGCTTTGGTATCGATTTACAGCTAAAAACTAGCAATTGATGTTGTT